GCAAGTTGTAAGCAGGTGGCACCCTTCCTCTGACCCACCCACCCGCCCTCTGCGTTTGCTGCTGTGCCATGTGGCTTCCTTTGCATGCCATCCTACGCCGTTCCCTTGCGCCTGTGCCACGCTAACACTCTCCCGCCTTCCCAAGGTGTGCTTGGCCAGTCTGGGGAAAGACCTGGACGGCCGTTCGGTGGAACCTCAGCTGACGCGCCATGTCTGATTTTCCTTTCCTTCTTTTTCTCTTTCTTTCCGGCTGGCTTCCTTTCTGTAGATCGAAATGGCCATTGAAAACCTCCAAAAAACTGAAGGCATAACGTCACACAAAAGCACCCTGCTGAACAGCCATGTAAGTTTTGGTTTCCCTCCCCCTCCCTCCCCCGGCTTTGGGCACTGCCCCCTTCCAGCAGGGCAGAGGCTGCTCTGGCCCCTGGGGAGGAGAAGCGTCGTCCAGGGAGGGCTGGCGTGGGCCAGGGGCCAGTGCCTCCTTGGCTCAGGCAGACGTCCACAAGACACTCCTCTTCGGGTGCCCAGACTCTGCCAGTTCGGGCAGACTCGTTCAGGCTGGGTAAAAGGTGAGCCCCCCTTCTAGGCCAGGCCAAACGGGCCTTGCGGTGGGAGGTTGCAGGAGCCCCAGATATCAAGACGAGGAGGCCGCCTTCAGCCGAGCCGGCCCCCGTGGGTCCGCTGTGTCTGCACTGCTGGGCACGCATCTCCGGCCCTTCTCCATCCTTCCTGAGATGCCAGCTTCCAGGCTGGGACCTCTTGCGTGCCCTTCCTCCTGCGGAGAAAGAGATTCCTTTCTTGGTGCGCCTGAACAAAGGGCAGCTTGAGTGGCTCAATCATACTGACGGGCAGCCCTTCTCCAGACCGCCTTCCTCTGGTTGACCTGGGGACCAGGGGCAGCCAGACGATGCGGCCTGGAGAGATGCGTCCGAGCCCTCTTCTCTCTTCTCCTGGCTTCTGCCACTGAATGCCCTCCCGCGGAGCCTCTCGCTTCTGGCCTCCTCTCTTTCTCACTCGGGGGCTTCAGCCTCTTTCTCTGCGTTGCACTTGCCTTTCCATTCTCTTTCCTTCTCCTCTGAGGCTGTGCTCCTAGCCGCTGGGTGGGGTGGGTGTGATTCATTGGGGGGACACTAGATATGAGTCAGGTTTCCCTCCATGTGGGAGTCCTAGAATCCTAGAATTGTGGAGTGGGAGGATCATCTAGGACAGTGTTTCTCAACCTTGGCCACTTGAAGATGGGTGGACTTCAACTCCCAGAATT